ATATGATCCCCAAGTCCCACCAGAAGTGATCCCTGAGCACAGAACCAGGAATAAGCCCTGAGTACCACCAGGCGTGGCACCAAAATCAAAATTAACAGTAACAACAAAAAGTGATGTGTATATCCAATTTTATTTCCTGTTTTATGTTACTGGATGCTGTGGTGTAGAGTGGAAAACAGACCTGATTTAAACGCACACAAAAACATCCTTGTTTTATATTTGTATCTTAGGTCTGTTAAATGGCTGATTAGTAACTAAAGACAGCATGTCCCAGGTTGGCTCCTTAGGCAAAAGTCCCTGTCCTGGAAGTGTGTTGTCAGGAGTCAGAAAAGTCCCAGTGCCACCAGCGTGAGTCAAGTATGGTCCACAAAGCATGTGATCTGTGGAACACAGCGTGGAAGAGCACTGAGATGAAAGAGATACGTGAGCACCACAGCCAGGAGGGCCATGACCTCTGGCCTGGACCAGACCCAAACTGTCAAAATGCAACAGGAGAGTGGCCAAAGGGTAGCACCATACCAAGCACCCAAGTACCACAGCTAGGCATGTCACCTGGTCATCACAACAAAGCAAAAAGCAAGGAGAAGTCAATCTTTAAAAACTGCGGTTAAAAAAAATATTATATATTAAAATACACACACACACACTCACATTATTTAAAGACAAGAAAAATTATCAAAATGGCACATCTAAATGCCTCTGAAACTGGAAGGCAGTTTTGAACCCTACAATGGAAGGAGGACATCTATTTTTAAACCACCATACTGCAACAACCTCGGCTAGAAGGCCAAGGTGAGTAAGTAAGTAGGAAAGAAGAAAGAAGGAGAAAGGGAGAGAGAAGGGGGTTGAGAGGTGAGACAGAAGGAAGGAGAAAGAAAAGGTGGTGAAGGAGTAAACAGGTAGAGCCAGCAGGGCGAGGGAGGAGAGGAATCAAGAAAGAGAACACATAAAATTTAAGGGACAATAAAACAAAATGCTAAGAGGAAGGGAAAAACCCTGAGGGTATTGTCTTTCTTTTTTTAAACTAAGTCAAACACATAGGATGGTGAAGGCAAAGTCATTTAAATCATTTCCTTAGTAATACAAGTAATATTTAAATAGATTTAATAGTGCTGCTCCAAACCAATGAATTATGGGTTTAAAACCTATTAAAATGTAATGTTTTTTTCCTGAGCTGAGAGGAGAGAGATTTAAATCCACTGAATTTTAATATTTCAGCTTGAGCTGCAGGAGGTAGAGAAAGTCCAAATGAACTATTCCATCAGCACCATTCAAGCATGAACATTTTAATCAGTTTTACTTCCTTGGAGTTCTCTAACACAGTTTACGCTGTCATTCTGAAAGCACTTAACACAGAGAGTGTGAAAAACCACCAAGGCTTGTTATTGCCTTCACAATTGATGGCAAATAATTTTGCAGACTTCCTATCATTAAAATGTCACTGCTAAAAATTGAAGTTCAGCATTTCTTGTGCTAAACTGCATTTTCCTGTAACACCATGGCATACCTGTTCTTAAGAATTTTTAAGGGGGTGCGCTTTTATAGAAATATGCATGTTTCTCTCATTTGTCCCTTCAAGAGTTATATTTACAAGGGGGGGCGGGATCTGAAGGAACAGGAAAAGTGAAAAATGTTGGGTTTTGACAGGTAAAACATTTTCTTTTCCAATGTTTGTATTAACAAAACTTTATCTGTTAATGGTAGTAGTGTCTTCCGTAAATTTCTTGTAAGGTTCCAATCCAGTCTCCTTTATTAAGCATAACCACATTCACACAGCATGTGCTGATTATATAGTGTAATGGATTCAAAAAGCATTTTATAAGATAGTCAGATGACTCAATTTAATAATACAGGAAATGAAAACATCATTTCTAATTAGATCATATTACTGATTTAATACTACAATCTGTGTGTTGTTCCAACAGTGTGATCTCACAGAGATTCTAATTTAAAAACACAGTGGCTAGAAGAACACATGACAAGATCAAACTAGAAACATAACAGTCCCTCAGCCCATTTGGAGAGCTTCAAATAAGCTCCAAGGAAATGTGGAAATACAAACACTTCAAAATAAACACAAAATATTAACTATAGAAAACATGAAAATGTTCCTGGCTTTTCCCTTATAAATAAAAGATAAATGATATTTAACTTATTTCAATCTATCAAAGTTTTAAACTGAACATGACCTGTGAAAGAAATCATTATAACTGTGTTTCATTCCATTAAACACAACTAGCTTATTGTCAAGAGAACAAGCCACCTCTCCAGGTTTCAGGCTCACTTCTGCATATTGCATTTAAACTGCATGGATCACTGGTTTGGCTCATTTACCAATGAAAGTAGAATAATATTGCAGAGTTAAAAAGGTGCTTCATCAGATTTCATTAAATTTGGGAACATTTGTGCCAATCTGGATGGTATGCATACAGATGAAACAGACACGTAGGTGGTGATAAATAAACGAAGGCTGGGGGAGGCTTTGAGTCTCTCCTGCAGAGTACCATCGAGGCTCCATTCTAAAAATCAAGGAACAAAATTCTGGAAGCAGGTCAAAATACCACTATCTCACCACCACATCCGTGTACAAAGGGACACACAGGAGCAGGTGTATTCAAACCCACCATGTTATGACTGGGAAAACTACTGGCCTTCAGGCACCACCAGGCCTGAAACAAAGAGCCAGAACAAAAGAGAGTAAGTGAAAAACAGCAAGCGAATTTGCAACTGGCCTCTTTCTTTCTCACTTGGTTTATGGGTACTTGAGATTTCTGGGTTTGGTCTCTGATTTCTGCAATCTGTTTACTGGAATAGTCAGATTATGTGATTTGTGACGCCATGTTCTGCTCAGATACAAATAATTGTTCATTCTCACCAGAGCCAACTTCAGCACAGGCTTCTCTGAATTTTCTGAGTTCTTCAAGTTTTTTAGGTCACAAAATTAAATAAACTTTAATAATTAAATTCATATATATATATTTATATACATACATACATATACATACAAACTGCCTGTCAGTAACTTAACTACAGTGCAGTAAATCATCCTTTTCCTTGAGAACAGGCAACGGCAACCTGCTAGTCCATTCAAAACGAAGTATGTAGAAAATGAAACAGATATAAAACTGGGTTAAAAATACTCTTGATATGATGAAGGGAACTTGTTTTGATTTGTATCTTCTCTGGTATATTAAGACAACACCCAACATAAAACGGATGTGTTTCTTACTTAATCTTTTCATTGTACAGGCAGTAACAAATAAGACTTGGAAAAGATACAGAAAAACATTATGTTCTCCCCAAAAAGGCTCCGGACAATCAGGCATGAGGCAGAACAGAGTGCCAGCTGTATCCTAGAAGTTCACGCAGACAATAAGTAAGCACCAAGCCAGAAGTGAGCCTCCAAGTTTTCCAGCTCCCGCAATCCTCATCCCACACAGTCTCTCCTCCTGAACACAGCAGAGGTGTAGTGGATGAGAAATGGTGATCCAGGAGCCAAAACCTGACCCAGGGGGAATGCAACACAAACCCCAGTGCAGCGGGTATACAGGTTCTGCCTAATTTGGAACGATCCTGGAACAAAACCCAACCATTCTCAATATTGTAAAATCATAATGCCTAAAATAAAATTTGGGGGAGGGAAAACTTAAGGCTTTCTTAACTGTAAATAAATTATTAATTAATGCACCGCTGTTTTCTGGAGCTTCCGGAAATAAAAACTGTGAAATAAGTGCATTCGTATCTTTTATCTCCCCCACTCAGAGTGTGGACAATGAATAACAAGATAGTCTATATGAGATTCCTTCGGGTTCAGCCTCTTCCCTTCGGAGGAAATAAAGGTGAGTCTTTTCCATGTATCCTGTTATCGAATGGGCTATTTTTTTCTTTTTCTTCTTGTGGTCAAGGGTACCCAAACTAGAGCTCTACAGAGTCCATTATAAACTAATCTTCCATCAGACCAGCGCTCTACCTCTGTAGGTGTCACCCTAGAGGAGTTCTGATTTCCTTGCTGAAAGACAGAGGCAGAACTGAAGAAATAGCTTCACTTCACATTGATTATCAGGCGACCCTTATCCACATCTTCACGCAGCAATTTGAATTTTAATGAAAGCAAATGGAATAATTAGCATTTCAAAGTGTGTTTGATACACGAAAGGGGGGGAAGAGAAAAGATTTTTGTGTGCACAAAAGAAAGTATTTGGGAGGGGGAAGCAGAAAGAAGAAAAAGTATAGTTGTAGTGTCTTCATTAGAATAACGGAGAGAACTGCCTCTAACAGCTGCATAACTAGAGATGTGAGAATTGTGCTCTTTTGAGCAGATTTCCTGCCTTCATTATTTCCAAGTTTTAGCACCTCATTTTTTTTATTTGCTACCTTAACCTGAGAGAACAAACTTTAAATGGAGTTGGGAGTGACTGCCCAAATTTCTAAATTCCAACAAGATTGCTAATGCAACGTTAATGTTCTACTATCACGAGGGAGGATTTTCTGACTGGGCCACTGATTTTTCAAAAAGATATAGTTCATCAGTTATTTCTACTGCAATTGGACACTAGCCCTTAAGAATCACTCATAACAAGGAAAGAAGAACAGCAGGGAGATGCAAAATCGTACATCTTATTTCACTAAAAAAGACATTAAGATACTATGCGCTCATTTGAAGAAAGATAAAAGAAATGAGGTCATTTTAACATAGGACAATCTATCTTTTTTTCTAGCACAGAGTAGTAACAGGCTGATTGCAAATGAAAGAAACATTATGAAAGGGTCTATCCAGAATCCCTGAGGGGAATTTTCAGGAACACGTCAATCTGAATTGGTGACAACCTGATTCCAAGTCTCTGAGGTAGCCACCAAATTGCACATGAGATGAAGTGCTTCGTTTCGCTTTGTGGTTCTCTACTGTCTTTGTCCCTTCGACGGAATAAAATTTAAAAAGCCAGAGCGAGAGAACTGATGACAAACACCAAGATCAGAGCTAGAATGGAAAGGCCACGTACCCCAATGATGGCGTTCAGTTCTGCCATGGTCACCTGCTTGGCCCGTTCCACAGCCTGCACCACTTGTTGCTGGTGCTATAAATGAAGATCAGAAACAGAATACAATTATTTGTTTTCTAGTCGATTAAGAACAGCTTTTCCTACATGTCCTCTAACTTCCATTACATGCAAAACAGGATTTGAGGGTTCTCGTGGTTTAAGTACAAGCCTAGGGCAGTAGATGACTAAATGTCTAGGACAGTGTTCATTGAACATTTTAATCCCTGTTATTAATATGGCTACTCACTTAAAAGGTTAAAATACGTACGACTCTCACTAGCAGTAAAGTTTAAGGACTTTGGGTTTTTCCTTTAAATAAATATACAGAAAAACCAGTATCTATAATTTTAATTTTTTTTAATTTTAAATTTGATTTCTGCCATTGTAAGTTTTTTCCTAGGCTGGATAGCAAATCCTCTTCTCGGGACTTAGTTCTAAGGAGAATGAGCAAGAGCTGATATTAGGAATTGTTGCAATTTCAGAAATAACACGTTAAGTCTCTGCCTGGAGCATAAAGGATCTCATATCTGAACCTAAACAAGTGTCCACTACAAGTGCCCCCACAATGTAAGTATTGCTCTAAACATACTTCAACATTCTAGTGTGCACAAGCTCAAATTCAGTCTCAAAGTAAACCCCTCTGCACCTCTATCAAGTCCACTTGGTGAATTGAAGCTAAAGGAACCATGCAGTGAAACAGGTACTCCCATCCCTTCCTCTGTGTGGCCGAGAAAAGTCTTGTGGTTGATTCTAGTTGAGAAATTTAGCTGTGAAGCTCAGTTATCATACTGCTCAATACATCCAAGAGTGATGGAAGCCAGCAGTTAAATAGGACAATCCCCTTGAACTACACTAAGTACCACATTACAAACCTCCACGAAAAACACATTGAGTTGGTAACCAGGATGATAACTATATAGGGAAAGAAACTAGACATCTTCACTGGGTATTTTTCTTGGCTTCTTAACATAAATGGGCATTTTATGCCCATAACTAATGGGAATAAAAATATCAAAATCATATGTAAATGCATTTTAAGCTTGTAATAGGCTAGTCAGTAATCAATGTTTTTTTGGAAGTCAACTTGACTATTTACTGAGTACTTACTATGCACCAAGCATAACGCTCCTGTTTAGATTTAAAACAAACTGATTATTAAGAAGTAGTGAAAGCTGTCAGTGCTTCTGAGGCAGAGAAAAAGGCAGAACAACAACGTTGGGACTTAAGTTTATGGTCAGAAATTTTCATGGAATGGTCCATCTTCTACTTTCTTACATTCAACAATGGCTGCTCAAAACTTTCAGAAACCTAACAGCAAAGGGCCATGTACATAAATCTGACACACATTTCATTCATTCTTCTTACACATTCAATCATTTAATCAGTTTTTAAGCTTTGCTCTATGCCATTTTGGGGGTGTGACTAAATTATCTCTGTATTACCGAAATAATTATATTCAACACTCAAAAAATAGTTCCATGAGACAGTGATAGAAAGTATGCCAAGTCAGGACTTCTCTCCCATAAATACTGTTCAACTCTGGCTTCATAAACTGCCTTCAATCCCCAAACTGAGTCAAGTTGCCTTCGGAAATTGGGCTATCTTTCCGGCCTGATATTAAAATCAAGCATGCTTACTAGGAAAGCCAGAAACATACTACATGAACCTACAGAAACTTAGCAAAGAGCTGAAATACAAAAGAAGTCACAATTCTGTTCCTTCCTTTCCTCTCAAGGCAATGGCCATGGCCTATAGCACATCTGGACTCTACCTGCAATTCAGGTTTCTACTTCCCTGTTTTGCTTACCACCATGAATCAACTGTTGTTTAAAGACCTTTGTATACAGAAGTTTGCTAAGGCAAATAAAGTCTCCTCTTTGCTCTGAAAATGCCAGAAATAATCAGACTTAGCCACAAACAGATTTATGCATGCACCAGGTGAAAATTAAAACTGAGAGAAGGAAAAAACGGTGAACAACAACGACGACAACAAAAAGAGGTAAAACACCTAAAGCCATAGCCAAAAGCACTCTGTAAGCTCTAAGCAGACTCAAAGGAAGTGTTCCTCAGACACACACAATCACATTCAAATCTTAACAAATAAAAATCTCTAACTTGGAAAATGTACCAAGTTTTTCAGATCCTTCTCAGAACCATGAAGGCTTTCGCACTGTCTCTGTCTCTTCCCCATTTCTTTCTTCCCCTTCCCCATCTGCTCCTCTCCCACTTCCTGCTTACACCCCAGTAAATCTGTAGAACGCTACAAATCCTCTGGCTTCTCTTATAGTTCAAGCTGTCACTCACTCAGATATGAGCTCTCGGCTTGAACTTTCCATGAGTACTACCAACTAAACTGCCATTACGAATAGATTTATAAGTCACAGGTGAAAGAAGGTGCTCGGGTCTCTAACTGGAATGTGAAAGAACAAGGAAAAAAAACAATAACCCATCATTTATTCTTTTAAATGCAGGTAAGTTAGACTTGTAGAGAGGGGTTGGTGTGATATAGACACATCCAAGAAACAAGTTTTGTTTCTTGGGAGACAGCAGAAACTAGAAATAAGCAAGTCAAGATTCCCTCTGGGTTCTCAGAAGGAAACTGTCCAGCTTACACCTTGATTTCAGACCTCTAATCTCCAAACTATAGGAAAGTAAATTTCCATTGTTTTAAGCCATCAAGTATGTTACAGCATACCTAGAAAACATGTGTGCGATTCAATTTTCTTTTGGCTCCACCTGATTTTACAAGAAAGTAAGGCTCAAAAAATAAAATGAATGCAATGGTTTAGAATTTTCTTTTTCATAGAAAAGACCAGTTAGAATCGTATCATGGTCACGGTCCTCCCGTTGTTCATCGATTTGCTTGAGCGAGCCCAGTAACGTCTCCACTGTGACACCTGTTACTGTGTTTTGGCATATCGAATACATCACGGGGATTTACCAATAATCACAGAAATGTCTACTTAAATGGGTAGATTTTATAATGAAAAATTGTATCTAATATACTTACTCGAAAAACACAAACATGGAGGAATACAGAGGCCAATCAAATTAATCCTATAAATCAAACTATCTGCCTACTTATTTTCATCTCATAAATTTTTTTGTTTTGAGTCCACAACCAGTACTGACAGGATCAAACCTGGCCTTTCAAATATCAAGCATATGCTTGGATCCCTGAGCTCGTTCTCTAGTCCTTATAAAATTACATTCTTGCATTTGTTCAGGAAACATGTTAAAATGTACTTCCACCAGGAAAAGATTTAAGCAATTTAAGATGATGGTAACTCCAGCATCAAACTAAAATGTTGTGTGTCATGTATGTATTTCACAAGAGTTCGTAATGACAATAGCTGCCATGCTCACAACCTTTGAGGCACGGCATTAGATGTGGTACTTCTGGTAAAAACAATTTTTAAAATTCTGTGCACAACTTAGGTTGGTTTGTGTTTGTGGGGGCATGGGGAATCATTTGGTTTGGCTTGGGGAGAGATGGGTTTAGACCTCACCCAGTGGTGCTCAGGGACTACTCTTGGTTCATTAAGCACTCCAGGGAACTCGATGCCAGAGACCAAACAAATCCAGGCCTCCTGCATGCAAAGCATATGCTTCTCTCTGGCCTCTCGATTTCTTTTAATTCTATGCTTTTTGATAGGGGTAATAAAGATATGAAAAATGAACTAGGTCTCTTTTAACAGTTAACCTTAATATTCCAGGAATGTGGAAATGCAAAATAAGCATGAGATAATACCCAACTCTTGACAAAACTCAGAGCGCCATAAAACACAGGAAGGTAGAAAATATCACGTAAGCTGAAGTTCTAGAAAACAATGGCCAGGGCACCAGGCAAAGACTTTACTTTCACCCATTAACTTATGCATTAAGTATGTGTTATACACCTGTTTTACTATGGTAGAAAACAAACTAGAAGGTGTACGAGTACGTGAAATAATGACACTTAAGAGACTCCACAAGTACAACCAGAAGTTAATTTCCATGAAGAAAATTAGAGAACACTATTTAATAACTTATCCGGGAAATGTCTAATTTAAAAAATGTCTTAGTGAATGCAGAGAGAGCATCCTGGGTATAGTCTCTGAAGGAAAAGCTACCGTGTCTCTCAAAGAGATGATTGGCCAAAGGAGGCAAGCAGAGAAAGGAACAAAATTGAAAAAATAAAGCATATTTGGTTTTGAAGGTTTTCAAAGAGGAAAGAAAGAAAAGCAGGGACATAATGTCACTTGGAAATAGTCTAAACACATTGTACAGAACCACATACTAATGAGAAGTAAAATCTGTAAATCAGGAGGAGGCCGAACTGCAAAGGGCTTTGCATGGCATGCAAAAAAGCTGGACTTTAGCCTGGAAGGGCTTCTTTTATTAAAAACATTTAAGCAGACCATCAGTTCTGCATTTTGGTCAGAATGAGACTGGAAAAAGAAAAGAAGCAGGTAGGCGGGGGGATGAAACAGACTGAAGGGAGAACTGTGTAAGGGCTAAGGAAATACGCCAGAGATCAGCAGTATAGTACAGCAGGGAAGGCATTTGCCTTGCACACAGCAAACCATGGTTTGACCCCCAGCATCCCATGTAGTTCCCAAGGAACGTCAGGAGTAATTTTTGTGTGCAGAGCTAGGAGTAACCCCTGAGCATCATCAGGTGTGACCCAAAAAGCAAAAAAAAAGGGGGGGGGGGGAGGAACACTCCAAGGTTAAGATATTTACACCTGGACATGGAGCATATGCCCTTCAACCAAGAAGAATCAGTAGACGAGTGTCCATCAAAGTGAGTCACTCAGAACTGGAAGTGGCCTTTAGAGATCATAAGACCGAGCAGAGTTATGCTACAAGTACTGCACAACCAAACAACAACAACAACAAAGACTGCCTTTCAAATGCCTATAGATTTCTAAATGCTGCTAGGGTAAATGAAAACACTGGCATTAGGATGGGGGCACTGCAATACCAACCACAAACTAGAGGCTATTACTACTATAGCTAATCGCTAAATCTCTGTCAACATCCTAAGAATCCTCA